TCTATCTATCTATCTATCTATCTATCTATCTATCTATCTGTACATCTGTATGAATCTTCAAATCTCTCTTCAAACTCCTCAAACTATAAGTCCTACATAAACTCTTTTTGTTAAAAGTCTTTTTCCCTCAGGTTTGAACAAGCCAACATTTATTCTAGTTTAATTAACTCTGGCTGGGAAGTACAGGTGCATATGACTTTGTGCAGGCGAGGTGCAGTGTGTGTGTGGACGAGTCCAGTGTACATACAGTGGATGTGGGAGGAGACAGGGGTGGAGTGGGCGGGTCACAGTCGGGTGAGTCGTTACCTGTGCATTCGCAGTGGGACGGGCGCAAGGCGGGGCTGCACTAGGATGGACTGCCGCCTCCCCTAAGAGAAATCACCGTGTCTCATCAACACACGACAGGAGAAGAGGAGAGGAGAGAATCGTGTGTATGTGAGGGTGTGAGCCTGTCCAACAATCCCAGCAGGCAAAGGGAGTGTGTGTCTGTGAGACGGGATCGACATGCATGTGGAAATACACACGCACGCACTCACTCACACAAAAACACATACAAATTCCCAGACGAACATTTAAATGTCCATCAAAATACACACACAAACCTGCCACATAAGTAAAGGGCAAACAAAATCTGTGCTGAAGCACTCAGTGCCATGTTGGTCATCATAATGATTTTGCAGCCAACATGCAGCTACAAGCTAAACAAAACTCTTCTCTACAAACACAACAGAATAATTCTTCAGCTCTTACAATCCCAATAATCTGTGAACAGGGACATGCTACTGGCTTAATGCACCTGACATAATAAAAGTGGAAGGAAAAACGGCAGAACAAAAACAAACAGACAGCTTGTGAACGTCTGCCAAGCACATGAGCAAACACAGAACTGACACAGACGCGTCATTAAAAACTACGGGACAGTTCAAAACCAGGGCGCTTTACAAACACAAACTTCTCTCTTGCTGAAATCAGAGTGGCTTTGGAAGAGAATATAATCAGTTTTAATGCAGAATTAATTTTGATAATTATTTACCCTACCGGTCAATAGTTTGGAATAATTAAGATTTTTTTAAATGTTTAAAGTAGGCTGCATTGATTTAATCAAAACTGCTGTAAAAACAATAATACTGTGAAATATTATTACAATTTAAAATAACTGTTTTCTATTTGAATATATTCTAAAAAGTAATTTATTCCTGTGTTGAAATGTAGAATTTTCAGCATCATTACTCCAGTCTTTAGTGTCACATGATTAAGCAGAAAAAATGTTGTCAACATTGATAATAATAAGAACCATGATAATGATAACCTGAAGTAATGGCTGTTGAAAGTTCAAAAATAAATTATTTTTAATATATTAAAATTATATGCCATAATATAACATTTTATTATATATTTTATCATATTTTTTATAATATATAGCATAATATAAAATATAATTTTATAATATATTTATTATATTTAATAGTATATTAAATATATTAAAATAGAAGTAGTTTTACATTAGTAATAATATTTCACAATATTACAGTTTTTACTGTATCATTGATCAAATAAATGCAGCGTTGGTAAGCATAAGAGACTCCTTTCAAAAACATAAAAAAAACGTATTTTAAACTTTTGACCGGCAGTGTAAAAAATACAAATATTGTGTTAAAATTATGTTTATTATTAACTGAATAGATAAAAATATTGAACTATACCAATATGAAATGAATAGCTTTTTACACATTTTTTTTTACATTATTAAGTAAATTAATAATCTTAAATTAATTCATAATATTAAATATTAAATGCATTTATATGAAGTACTTCACGATAAAGGATGTTATAAGGCCCAGACATAATCTTTTTTTTTCTTCTCACATTTGGGCAATCTAAATGTGTTCAATAGATGTTAAAAAGATGTTTCCTTCCGGAACCCTGCAGTTTCGCCTCTTCCAAACATCTCCTGATGCCCACCTGAGCTTCATCTACAGAGCTGCTTTCTTTCACACGCTGATTGTATTCTGCAGGAGAATCTGTGCTGACAGCGCTGAACGTCTGCCTGCGGTTCTGTCCACTCAGCAGCTTTCCTGATCCCTCAGTTCAACGTGCAGCAGCTCACTCGTTTGATCTTATCTTATCTCGTCAGGAACAAGATGATCGGTTTTCTTCTTTTCAAAGTCAAATCAGAAGCCGATTTAGATCCAGCTGGAGCGTTTGCTCACAGCGGTCGAGTGACGTGTGCACAGACTGCAACTGCTGAGAATTTGGTGTTTGTTGAAACATACAGAACAGCGATGCACCATTCATGAGAAATCAAAGCATAAAAAAGAAGCGAAAAAAGAAGGATGACGCATGGAAAGAAACATGAAGCATTTGACGTCCCTACAGGAGGTACTGGAGTTTAATGCTTGACTAAATATCTCACCACTCGAGGTAAAGCGACACTGAGCAAACGATGCTTCAAAAATGCATTATGTATTGAAGTACTTGTATTTTTTGAACTATCCCATTGGAAAGATTTCTATAATATCTAAATCGTTTCTCCTAGACAGCAATAAGAATAAATGGAGAGCAAAAGGAGACTTTGGCCGGAGAAAAAGACCCTAAGAGTGTCTCAAACAGTGCTCAGATTTGCCAAGATATAAAATCTGCAATCAAATCTCAGAGATTTCAGAGATTTCTCATCAAGAGCAAATGATCTGAGCTATGTTACATGAATTTTATAGCTTTACATTCTTTGTTTTTGATAACAGATTTCTCATTGGTTCCTTCTAATGTGAAATACAGTACTGTACCATTCAAATGTTTTGGGTTAGTTTTCTCTGAAAGAAATTAATACTTTTATTCAGCAAGGATGCATTAAATCGACCAAGAGTGCCAGTAAAGACATCTATAATATCAGAAAAAAATAAATTTCAAATAAATGCTGTTCTTCTGAACTTTCTATTCATCAAAGAATAGATGATGAAAAAATGTTTTACACAAAAATATTAAACAGCGTAAGTGTTTTCAACGTTTATAATAATAAGAAATGTTTATTAAGCAGCAAATCAGCATATTAGAATGATTTCTGAAGGATCATGTGACACTGAAGACTGGAGTAATGATGCTGAAAATTCAGCTTTGCGTCACAGAAATAAAATAAATTTTAAATATATTCCAATAGAAAACAGTTATTTTAAATTGTAATAATATTTCACAAAATTAATCTTACCAAGGCCAAACTTAACAGACATTGGTGGTTAAATGTTAAAGTTTTGGTCTTAAAAAATTATTTATTTATTATTTATTTTTCCCTATTTTTTCAATGTATTGTTCTCAAAGTTAAAGTATGCTTTCATAATAGAATGAAATAAAAAAATATATAATAATAAAAATACACTGGAAAACTTGATGAAAGTTTGAAAAGGTGTAACATCTGAGCAATAAAATGCTCCTCTGGGATAGTTCAGCTTTAGCATCAGAATTCAGTGCTACTCTTCCTCAAGTGGATCAAATCTGTGATCTGTGTTCTGACCTACAAATCATCCTACATCAGCGATGGAAATCAGTCCTGTAAAGCATTCAGACAGGCAGAGCAAACGAGCAAAGGCATTCCGACATGAACATAGACAGACAGACACGCGAACAATGGACAGAACAGTCCAGGAGAGAACCAGAATGAGAAGACAGACCTGGTCTGCGAATATCCTGGGTTTGTGCTCAGGCACCACCCCTACCCTCAGCTCGTCTTCCACAGCCATGAGTCTTCACAGAAAACAAGAAAGCGAAGGAGAAAGAAAGGACAAGAAAGAGAAAGACATTATTAGTTCCAATGCACATTATTGAGATCAGACAATCAAAAATAAGTGTTCATCTGCCACAAATATCATCGATAAAAGCTTCGATTGTGGTATAAACTGTAGTAGTTTGGCTGATTTGGTCCAATCTGAACAGCATACTGTGAGAAATTCCATCAAAATATGTCTCGTTATGTCATATAATGACATATTTCCATCATCCCATGGGAATAAGTGAGCTGATAAATGAAAATGGGCCACGTTGTACGGCTTTCGCTCTTACTGGCAGCTTATTTCAGCAATTACACGCCATTGAAGTGGCCGCCAGCGCGCATCAAAGTGACGGTCGGCTTCATACACAAAACAGGGATTGTTTTCATATCTCCACATGAACATTTCCTCTCTGGAAATCACATCAGATACTGTTTTTAGGCACAAGCGGCAGCAGAACAAACCACTTCTTTAATAGGCCCAAAACTGGTGTGATTATCAAGTGAACTACGGTTTTCTAAGGAAAGATGTGTTTTGTGATGTCTGGTTTGATATATGTTGACAAGACAATATATATGCATGATAGGGTGACTGACATTAAATGCATGCATTTGGTTTGAATATGAAAGGTTTCATTGGATAGTCGGTTCGGTGACAGTGTATGCTGATATGAAATAGTCATGAATTGAACATTTATTTATTGCAGAATGACTTTAGCACAAGTAAATAATGAATTCCACAGTTTAGGTTTAAAAAAATGTGAGTGGATATTTTATTCCATTGATAAATGTACATATATGCTTGTACAAAATTGAAATGCAAAAGTAATAAAAAAACAACAACAAAAAGACAAATTTAGTGCTTCAGTACTGCTAAAAAAGACAGAAGCATGTTTATTTCAAGTCCGCTCACGTCTGTCACAACAACGTAATTTTTTATTAACAAAGGTCAGACAAAGGGTCATGGGGTCAGACACATTTCACAAGCAGAGGTCAGAAGGGTCACGAGAAGGAATCATTAATAAACTTTCATTGTGCTATTTAACATATCAAGGCATATTTATTGCACACAGCTTGGCTACAAGAATTAAATATATATCATCTCATATACAGAATATATATTATCTATGCTCTATATTTCTCAATAAATAGCTTTTAAAAGAATTTATAGGGAAGCAATGCATTTGTTATTGGTTTCTAACAGTATAGAATGTTTAATACAGTCATTTTTGTACATCAGTATCTGAAAGGCTAACAATGAAACACTTAAAAAAGGCTTTTTTCCCCCAGTACAAACGTTCCATGTTCTTCTAAATTATTATTTATATAACATCACATTACAAAAGAGATTTTCTAAGAATTCATTTCAGTCCTAAATTAATCCAGTATTTAAGTTTCAGTATTCATATCTCTATGTTTATTTCACAAACAGCACCACACAAAATAAGATATTTATTTCACAGCGTGCCTGTATCACAACTCACTTACCTCATGTTTAATATTTTATACTGCATCTTCTTGATATTGTACATGAATCATAATACTGAAGCATACTGAACACAACACTGATTTGTTGTGTTAATATTTATCTATGAAGGTGAAAACAAATCCAGGCCATATTGGAAATATCCGTTTTTATTGCATATATCAAAACGAATGGTCTTGACACTGAAACATATTCCCGCAAGGCCTGAACAACTGAAAGCCAAATGTGATGAGGAGCGGTTGACACATGAGAGCGCTGTTCTTGTGATAGCACATAGAGATATGGAGAACATGAACATCTGAGATATGATCTCTTCTGATGTGTAAGACACTTCCATCACACAGTATGTTCCAGAACACAGTGAAGAGAGAAGTGCAGCAGAGAACTTGAACAGGCAGTTCAGGAAGAGAGGATTCTGGGTATTTTCAAGATGTTCTGCTACAATTATTGATGGTTATTTGGAAGAGAAATCGCCAGCACCTTTTCTATTTTCAAGATAAACAGGTAGAAGCCAAATATAGGCTTGTTTAAAAACATTATTATTGCATTACACTACCTCATCTCATTCTTAAACCTGTACTATTTCTTTATATTTTATTTGACAATTTTTCCTTTTGTGTTCCACTGAAATATTAAAATACAGGTTTGGAATGAGGAGGGTGAACAAATAATCACAGAATTTTGATTAATGGATGAACGATCCTTGAAAGAGCTTTTGCAATTTCTCTTTCGGAACAAGTTATTTAAACATTAGCAATTCATGAACCAACTTTTCTTTTCAGCTCAAGCACAGTCTGTCCATGTCAGGTTGTTTCCGCAGATGGCACCACACTTAAAATAACAAATATATATTGCAAACATACGACTGCCTCCATTACAAACACATCCCGCTCATCCTGAGATCATTCCAGAGAGGTATTGCACTAATACACGTCAAGGAAGGAAGAGACTTGATGATTTATATTTGTATGCCCTTTTGGGAGTAAGAACCCGGTCTCCCTTCACCATCTGAGTGTCTTGACTCCATGTCTTCATCCCTAGAATTGGATCGAAATAGCAATATACTCTGTGACACAAAGTATGTGGTAAGTGCTGCATTACAGGAAGTTACATCATCATTTCATCAACTAGTGGGTGGGGTGATGTCATTTATAACAGTGAACAAAATATTGGAAGATGGGTCTCTGTAGATTCACAAAGCTGAAAAGAATCCAAATAACAGAGTAATAAAAATTATGAAATGAAACAAAATAAAACAACAACAGGAAGGAAATGAACCCAGTTCATCAATTAAAAGTAGCTTTGTGATGACACACAACATGGCAATTACAAGACAATTCAACATAATTGGCAGTCGCTCTAGAAATCCCCTTATAAAATGTATAAAACATATACACACTGACCCTAAAAAGCATTTGGACATCTGTATCGTTCTAAAAAATGTCTGAATGTCAAATGAAATATTAAATAATATAGTTTATCTACAAAAAATACTTAAAAAATTAGTTCATTAAAATGTAAATTAAAACAAAAATTTAAATAATATTTTTAATAAAATGTAATAATTTAATAATTAATAATACAAAATAATTAAAATGTAAATTAATACTTTTATTCAGCAAGGATGCATTAAACTGATCAAAAGTGACAGTAAAAATTTTTTTTGAAAAAAATATATCATGGTTTCCACAAAAATATGAAGCAGCACAACTGTTTTCATCATTGATAAAAATCAGTTTCTTGAGCAGCTAATCAGTATATTAGAATGATTTCTGAAGGATCATGTGACTGAAGACTGGAGTAATGATGCTGAAAATTCAGATTTGCATCACAGGAATAAATTACATTTTAAAATATATTAAAATAGAAAATAGTTATTTTAAGTTTGAATAATATTTCACATTATTACATTTTTTACTGTATTTTTGAGCATAAGAGTCTTCTTTTAAAAACATTAAAACTTTTGAGTGTATTACGGTAGTGTATATAGTGTTTTATCACTTGTCATGAAATGCTTTGCTTGAAAGGTGCGCTTGTGCTATTTTTTTTTTTATTAATGCCACTTTATTTGACATTTTGATCTTGTTTTCTAATGAAATGACATTCAGACATTTTTAAGTTTGGTTTAAATATACAAATACTTTTTCAGGCCACTATTTCTAAACAGCATTACTGTACATAAGGGGTCTTTGTCAAATGAATTTAGAAGGAACCGAAGTAATTACACAGCGAGCGTGATCACGTGACCACCACTCAATGTTTCTCCAGCCTTTTTTTTTTTCATATTACCTGTCAATAATTCCTTTAATTTGGTTGTCTTTCTCCATCTGCTGCTGTCTCAGTCTCCTCTCGCTGTTCTCCAGTCGGCTCTGATACTGCAGCAGGATTTTATTGGTCTGCTGCTCCTGAGTTAACATCCTCCTCTCGTACTCCTCCAGCTTGCGGTGTGACATCATCAGACGCTCCTTCAGAGAGTTGATCTCCTCCTCGTATTCACGCACCTGCGTCCAGAGAAGAGATGAAGACAGCAGGCCTGTTATCAGAGCAGATGTTACCCTCATCTTGATGGCTTCCTTGAGACAGTAAGGTAAGAGGTAGGTGAGTGAGTATCTAAAAGTGTTAAAAAGTTTTAAAAGTATCAAATTACATTAAAAAAAAAATAATAATAAAATAAAATTATGTGAATTAAATGAAAGTAAAAAACTAAATGTATTAAAAGTGTTCAAACATTAAATAATTGTTTAAAAATTATAATTTACAAGATATTATCCAGGCTTTAATAAAATTTAAAACTGCTATTAAAATCTGCAACAACAGAATAAAGAAAAAAGAGTTGTGTATTAAAAGTATTAAAAGTAAAAGTCAAATTTAAAGTTTTAATTAAAAGTAAAAAAATATATAAATTAAATAAAAGTAAAAGTAAAAATAAAAGTATCAAAAATAGTTACAAATTAATTGAATCTTTTTGTGAAAATTATAATTAACAAGATATTATCCATTAAATGGCTTTAATAAACTTTTAAAATATTATTAAAATCTGCAAAACAAAGTATTCAAAGTCTTAAAAAGTATTAAAAGCACATACAAGTATTAAATAAAATTTAAATTATAAAATTAAAATTAAATAAAAAAATGTAATGAAAATTAATTATTTAAAAATAAAATAAAGGTAAAAAATTAAATAAAAGTATTAAAAAATAAACCAAATAAGTTGTGAAAACTACAAGTAACAATATATTATCTATTAAATGGATTTAATAAACTTTCAAAGTATTAATGAGATATGCAAAAATCTGCAAAACAAAGTATTCAAAGTCTTAAAAAGTATTAAAAGCACATACAAGTATTAAATAAAATTAAAATTATAAAATTAAAATTCAATAAAAAATGTAATGAAAATTAATTATTTAAAAATAAAATAAAGCTAAAAAATGAAATAAAAGCATAAAAAAAATAAACCAAATAAGTTGTGAAAAATACAAGTAACAAGATATTGTCTATTAAATCGATTTAATAAACTTTCAAAATATTAATAAGATATGCAAAAATATAAAATCAAATGTTGAGACAGTAAGGTAATAAAGTACTCCTAGTGTACAGCTTTGGTGAGAGACTAACTAAAAGTGGTGGCACTCGGGGCCAGCTCCAGGCATGGGCAGGTGTGGGCTAAGCCCACCCAAATGATAGTCTTGCCCACCCAATCAGAATTAGATAAATATTGCGTTCATTTTTTAATGCAGTAATTAAAACCAATCTGAAGTGGACTGTATTTTAAGAAGTTTAAGATATAGCTGGAGACTGCCCCAACAATCATAAAATAACACCAGAAAATTGCAGCATTTTTCTTTTATTAACTGAATGCAAGGAGCTTCAGTCTGTTGCAGAAAAGCAGAGGCTGAGGACTAGTGAAAACGGGCAGAGATATCACGGGGAGTTTGTGAGTTACGGGGAGTTTAATAGGCTACATGAATATGTATCATAGCCTACCACTGAAATTACCTGAGCAGTTTTAATGGTTTAAAAAAAAAAACCCCGCTCATACAATAACGTGCATTCATTGCATGGACGGGGCAAGAGCATAATATAAGCATCTAAAATGCATGTAGGCTATACAGTTCAGTTGAAAGCTTACCACTTTTAGCTTGCTGTTAATGCTGAATGTAAGAATGAAAACTGAAAGTAAAGAGCTTGTGGGATGAAAGTTGTGATCGTTACTATAGCAACAGTCGGCTCAAAACGTAGCGTTCCCTCCTTCTATGACATAAACGACCAAATAGGCTATCCAGTGATGCAAGCTATTTATGCGTTTTCTTTTTTTGTCAAATTCCGCAGTTTTGAATGGAAAGCAGGTCTGCCATTTACACGATTCATGTAATTCATAATGACGACAATAGCATTTTTCTGTTTCGCGTTTTCAGCAATACAACTGAAATTGAATGGGTGCATATTTGAAAATAAAAATCTCATTTGCAGTTCAGATTGATTACTTTACAAAAATTCTTATTCTTGTTCTTTTACTGTTCTTTTTTCTTATTTTAATTTATTCCCCCAAATCAATTTAAATCCTTTATTTATTTAGTTTCTTTAAATAA